CAGGACTTGTTCGGGATACAAAGCAAAGGAGAAACACAAAAGCAATTTATGCTTTGAATGACAAGGATGAATTGTTATTTTCAAAGGATTTACTGTGTTCGAAATCTGATTTTTTCATCATTTTTTTCTACATTTCTGGTCTAAAATACTGATACAATGATGTTCAGGGTATGATATGAATTGTTTTCTGTGATGCTGACCAGCTGTGACACAGTTTTCCTGGAACAACACAAGTGTTTATTGCTGTAAAATGAGATTTTTTTTTTCAGGTAACAATGAAACAGCAGCTTGTAATAACTTGTGYGAGCCTCTGCAGCTTAAATGACAGGTGAGAAAAAACAAAAATACCTGTAAGCTGAAATTTGGAGAGGCTTCCCAGCAGTTATGACCAATTCTGGAAGTAGTTATGAATAAGTTTAATAATGACAAAATAATAATGGGAATTTTAAAAATCCAGGCTTTTGCACTCATTCCTTTTACTTGCACTTTATAGGATAAAAATGCCAACTCCATAAAAACTTCKACATATTTCAACAGCTCTTAAAATAAACTGCATTTAATTACTGTTGAATTAGAAACTAAAAACATTTCCTGGCATGTCCATGGTTGCTCWGTGCATCTCTCATCATATCCTGATTTCCCAGCTGGTTTTCCACCTAAAAGCGATTTTCAGCCATCTCTTAAAAATTCCATGCAAAGCCACAGGATTAACACCTGGAATTGCTGGTTAAAAGGCCATYCATTTCATTAGGATTTGTTTTAATTCAGTGTTTTATTGCTCTTATTTAATACTGGATATTAATTCAATTGTTTTTTGTTTGTTACATGACATTTTCTGTAACCAGCACCCTCTGCCACTGACAAGGGGTTTGTTGTTGGGTTGAATTTTCTCCCTAACAAGAAAAAAACCCTTTTTGCAAGGAAAAAACCCCAACAAAACCCCAAAACCAGGAAAAGAGAAATTCCCCTTTTGGATTTTTAGCTGCCATTTCTCCAGACTTCCCTGCCTTAATAAAAAACTTTTATTTTGGCATTTATTGAAGCGATTAAACTCCTTTTAATTGCGATATCATCACCATAAAGAGAATCCATCCATGAGGAAATGTGGCTACTCAGATCCAGCTGGGTGTAAACAAATAAACTGATTATAAAGAAGTTAATTAATTAATTTATAAACTAGCTAGCAATAAGTGAAATTAATACTTATACATCTAATTGCACCTGTTGGAGATATGCAAGGATTTCRGGTGAAATGGAGAGGAAATTGATGGTTTTCTCTCTTCCATCCAAGATTTCAGCTCCCCACTCTCCACATTAAATATGCACCGGGTTTCTCCCATGATTATTTCAGAGGCTCGCATATTTTATTAACRACTCCAGGAAAAATCAGGCTTTGCTCCAGGAAAACGAGGCAATAACATTTAACCAATAGCTTTAACACAAGAAAATCGTTCATTTTATAAAAATAAAACAAACCAACGGCAAAGAAGCAATCAAACAAACAAAATTAATTTCGATGAGAGAGCAATTTGAAAGGAATGAAAGTGAAAGGAATGAAAGTGAAAGGAATGAAAGTGAAAGGAATGAAAGATCAGGTAGGGAATGTGACTTACCATGGAAGGGCCCACTGGGTAAGCAGAGCACAGCGATGTCATGGAGATCCACAGGATGAAAACCAAGTTTAACCTGCAGAGACTTCAAAGAAAAGCTGAGATTAATGGAAATTGGAATCAAAATCAAGTAAAATACGAACAGAGAGCAGCCCAGGCAGTGCCTTTACCTGCTCATTTTTCACTCAGCTCTCTGTGTATGGACATGCAGCTCCACAGGCAAATTCCTCACACATCCTTTCAGTTCTTCCTCAGGTGACCATTTTATACCAGAGTTCAGGAGGGAAAATGTCATCAAAGCTGATTTTATTCTGACTAATTGCTCCTTGTTTGGCCTTTTCTTCCTGTTAAATGGGAAAAATGGCAAGAACACGCTCAGCTGCCACCGCCAGCCCGAGGGATTTCATTTCAAGTGTCCCATTAAATGTCTCTCGAGTGGTTTTAGTGTTACCTCTGTGTCACTGCTGCAGCYCTGGGCAGAGGTCTGAGGGTTTCAAAAATACATCTCAAGAGTTTGTTACCACTTCCAATAGATCAGGTCGAGACCTTGYGAAGCCCGGCGGCGAGGGAGGAACACGAAAAGTGCATTTTAAGTAGAAAGTTCCTCAAAGAGCAGCCACAATACAAAGAACAATAAATTTTTAAAAATATTTTTCTCCCCCCGACATTATTTTTTTTTCCCATGCTCAGTTTTTAACACACTTTTAATTAAGTTTTTTTCTTGCAACTAAAATTCTCAGGACATTAATCTTCTCCTCTTACACACAGWCACATCTCAGCCCACATTAAGTTTAGTCAATCCAAACTTCCATAGGATTAATAAACTCTGTTAATCTCCAGCAACACAAAAAATGTTTCATGTCTAAGAGTGTAATTTGTTACTGCAGCAGATTTAATGGTGGAGTGTTTTAGGGGATTCTGTGGTTTATTAATCCGCTGAATCCCACAAGATCTGGGAATGTTGGACTGCACAGGGCAGGGAATGCTGAAAAACATTAAATTCCTTTTTTCTTTCTGAGAATGAGCACCACATCCACAAAGCTGTGCTGGKTTAAGGGCTGGACTCACTGATCTGAGAGCTTTTCCAACTTGAAGGATTCCAGGGCTCTAATGAAAACACTGAGGATCATTTTTTGACAGCCACGGAGTGTCAGACACGCACAGAGTGAGCCAGAAACCCCAAAYGCTGCATTTCCTTTGCTGTTTACACTGGAAAATCAATGTACAARGGCTCCAGGGGGGACTTTTGTGTGAGACTTCGGGGAGATCTGAGCTGTTCTAAACAATGGCAACTTCCACTGCAGCATTTCAGATCATTTGGATGATCTTAAAGGTCTTTTCCAACCATAACCACTCAATGTCCTGGTAAAGTTCATTTCATTCCAGGAGGCAGAGAGCTGCAAGGAGAAATGCAGCAGCATGGAAGAGCCTTGAGGAGATTTACAGCAAAATTCCTGATGTGGTCTCAGGCCGTGGTTGGCCACTTTTTCCTCATCGTGGTGGTGCTGAGGTATYGGTGGTTGCCAAAATCCAATGACTCTTCAGTGACTTTTTAAAAAGAAGTGCTTGGAGCTGGTGGAGCCCTTCAGGATTCTCCAGGAATGTGGAAATGAGGGTGGAATTAGTGCCCTTTAAAGCCTGCAATCCCTTTACAAACCCTTCAGGAGAACAGAGGACAATTTGCATATTCAGCCTGAGTCCTCTTATTCCGAGAAAAAATCCTCTCCCTTGAATGGAACCTCCCGTTCCTGCTCGCCCAGGACCTCCAGCTCCAGGGATAAGAGGATTAATCTGTGTTCTGCTGCAAAGAAAAGCACTTTGGGGTGGATTCTGCCTGAGCACAGCTCAGCTCAGCTCTCATTGTGTCTGCATTTAGTGCAATTCAGTGTTAATCCAAAATTAACCTTCACACAACACTTTTTGTGGCAGATGAGGGGCAGTAACAGGCTGGTGATTAAAGCTCAGCGTTTCCATGTTCAGCCTTTCACTCTCAGGATAAACTTTAGTGTATTCTTGACTCAGTTTTTCAAATGATGAGTTGTTTGAGGCCTGGGGTGAGCTCCCATTGTGCCTGGTCAGTCCCTGCCATGCTCACCTTCCTCACATCCCTGTAAAACAGAGGATCTGCCCAGCTGAGCAATCACAAACTGCTTTGGGACAAAATTTGTGTTGGAAAAGCTCTCAAAGACCGAATCCAACCATTCCCAGCACTGCCAAGGCCACCACTGCCCCSTGTCCCCAAGGGCCACATCCACAGGGCTTTAAACCCCTCCAGGGATGGGGACTGCACCCCTGCCAGGGCTGGACAGCCTTTTTTTTTGGGAGAAATCTTCCCAAAATCCAGCCTGATCCTCCCCTGGCAATACAGAGGGCACCAAGGCAAGCAAGAGTCACTGAGATATCCCCACCCCAGCCCAGAGCCACCCCTCAGACACACAGAAAAGGCATTTCCTGAGCAGCCAAACCCTCCCCTCTGCTTCTCCGTTATCTGAGCTTATTTTTCCAGCTTTTCAGGATGCAGTTTAACACAACACAGCCGAGAYAGAGATTGAGATCCATCCGAGATGTCCCCACGTCAGCTCTGGAGGAATCAGGGAACAAGTGCCAATTGACATTTCTGTCTCCTGCTCTGTCTGCAGAGCACCAGGCACAGCTCTGCTCCCRGGCTGGGTGCACTGGCAGCTCTCAGAGGTCAAATGAATCATTAAGAGCCACAATAAAACCTCCCAGCACCCATAAAATCTGTATTTTATGARCATAAATCAGCAGCAATATCAGCAATAACATCACCTCCCTTGTGCTTGCCTTGATGAAGAGATTCTGTATTTAACCCCAATGCTGCTTTCCTTTGAATTCTCCCCAAAAATCACCTGGAATAACACAAAACTCACTGCTGAGCAAATTATTGAGGTTCATCAACCTATGAACTTCAGGACATGAAATTTCCTTCCTCCACCCCAGCAGTCAATCCAAAGTGTTTAAATTGGTATTGTGCAACTTTGCTGAGGGATCAGAACAAAAAAACGAACAAACAACCCAAAAGCTGCCTGCAGGGTCCCCTGGCATCACCCCAAGAAAGGGAAGGTTCAGAATTTTCCTGTTTCCTTCTGAGATGTTCCCAGTGAAATCTCAGCGTGGTTTTCTGGAGAAAGCTGCCAGGATATTTTGTTCCAAGCTCAGGATGTTTTTTTTTTCCTCAATCTCAAGAATATCAGGAAAGCCACGAGCCAGGAGGGTTTGCTTTCAGACCGTGCGAGGTGCAAGCTGGAAATCAATCACTCTCTCAGAACACCAACCTGCTTCTGGCTCRGTGATAATTGAAAATCCCAGCAGGACACGGAGACAGAGGAGACACAGAGAGCAGATTTATTCCTTGGGCCGTTCCCTCGGTGCTCCCACTGCCTGTGAGGGGACA